TAAGGGACGAAACGTTCAACAAGATCAAATAAATTTGTTCATCAAAATTTATTAACTGTCTTCAATTTTCCCTTTGAAACTCATATATATTTTTTTTATTGTATTACTAAATATTATAAAGTATTAACCCTTATCGGACGGAACCTTGTTACACCTTATTTGTCGTTTTATCTATTAACACGTCTTTTGTTATCTAATAAATAGCAAACGTTTAATAGGGTAAAAACTATAATATCTCATTGTAGGTGATATACGTCCAATAAGAGTTAAGATTAAAGTTTTGTTTTTATTAATAACTATACTTGTGAGCTTCTGGTATATCAGGATCTATTTGAAGAACGGAAGACATTAAGGTAGAAAGATTTTTTCCACCATTAAATTCACCAATACGTGCCCCTTTAATAGCGATAACAGGATGATTATTTCCATTAAATTTTTCAGCTTCTGAGCCCCATAAACTCAAACATATCTACATTATATTAACAATATTTTTACTATAATTTTACGTATTATATATAATATCCTTTCTTTTATAATAATAAATCTTTTACCATAGTATTACTTTCATCGATTAAAGTAATATCTCTTTTTTTAAGTTCTCTACCCGTGTTTCGTGCTTTCAGCATTTGTATTTCTTCGCAAGATTTCACAATTCCCAAAACATCTGTAATATAGCAATAGATATATGTATTTAGTATCAAACAAATCGATATTAATTATGTAAGTATAGAAATATTAACGTCTTACCTATGATATCATTTTTTTCTTTAATTTCTATATTGTTTATTGGTATAAAATCAAATTGAATCCTTGGAATACTATTAGCTTCATCGTAACATGGAATTACTTCAGTTTCTGAAGTCATACACATCTCATAATCATTCTTCAAAGTGCTGTATTGTTTATTCGCTGCTTTTAGATTACATCGCGAGATGTAATAAATTTGTCCAGCCTATAGTTAAGAAACAAAGATAAAATTATAGCTTTAGGTAAAAAAATCTTTGAACAGATATATTAGTCATACACACATTTATCATATCATAAAATTTATCGCATTGATCTTTGAATGCTGTACATCTTATTTCACCGCTCTCGTCGATCAAATCACAAGAAAATAATTTTCCTTCGCCTCGAGAATTGGACCACGTTATGATATTAGATTTGCTAGTAACTCTTGCTTTGATAATCCACCTATAATAAGATTAATTAAAACGTAAATAATATATTATAATATATTTTAAATATATATACAATACTATATCGATACGGCTTACTTATTTTGATATGGGCTTAATGCAACAATAGGAGTTGTAGTTATTTCAGATGCATGATCAGAAGAACTACTTTTTGAAACTGTAATTAAATGAAATATCATAATGTAACAAAATGAATAATATTTTTAATAAATTACTATTAAAAAACTTACAACTGGAGGGTGTTGGTATAGGCTTTTTTACAGTTTGTGATTTCATAGATTCTGCATCTCCATTAGCATTGTTATCAATATTTACGGGATTTCCTATTTTAGAACCAACTTGTTCGCCAGGAACTTTTACATCGATGCTCAATATCACCATCACACGTCTATTTAAATATATATAAATCAATAATAATTACATTCTTTTTAATAAAATAACATCAAAATAGGTAAAGATTAATACTTACTTTTGTTTTCCGCTATTATTGACCACACTTACAGCATATCTATTAACCTGGCATATAGAAAAATCAGTCAACTCCGTTATCTTCGAATTTAATTGTGTGGCTAACATAGTAAAAGAATTAACTCTCTTGCCATCAGAAACTAATAATCTGTAACGTTCTCCAGTGTTTTGACCAATTAACTTTTTATGACCCTAAATTTAAAAAATAATATAATATTATTTTGGTATACAGCGTACATATACAATAAATATTTACAATATTTATTAGAATATATACAGATGTTCTAAAAATATAACCAAGAATAATTAATTATTAATAGATTTATATATATAATAAAACGGTAATTCATTTTCTTACTAGTATTTGAATAATTGGGTTGTCAATATCGTCGCCTGCCATGATTTTCTAAAGAAACGTAAAACGCATTATCAAACATTGTTGACATGCATAAAATATTAAATGTTCAAACATGATACAATAATATCGTAGCAAAAAATTATATATTTATTATACTTACATCTAAAGCTCCTTCCGTTAAAGGAATCATGTTTATTTTCTAGATATATATTAGAATGTATAGAAAATCAAATCACAAAATAATCCTTAGTTTCACCAAAGTACTACGTTACAAATCTTTAAAGTTATTATATTGTGCAATACACAATTATACCAGTAAATAATCTATTTAAAAAAAATTAAATAACAATAATGATAAACATGACTAATAAATATTAATACCAGTTATCAGTACATACTTATTAGAAATTTCAATATAAGGCATACATTTCGCTCAGCAAATTACGTTGTATTATATCAGATTGTGTTACTAGGTGCAGCCGGTAATATTTCCCGCCTATTACGTTTAGTTACCAACATAAATATTTGAAATGTTTTCAACAAAATACCTAGGATATACATCAGAATTATTTTTTTGTTAAATGAATTGTATTTTTTCTAAAACTCTTAAATAAATAACCTTTTGTTTTTTTACATTTCCCTACTATAATTATTTATATTACAATGAAGTAATATTTATATTAGATTATCTCCCAAAAAACAAGAAAAAATATTAAAAATAAAAAATTAGCTAACTTCTTTAGTAAAATGTTTAGTTAATTACTGTACTTTTTCAATTTCGTTGGTTGGTATAACTTCTATCCTAATAAACCAATTGACCTAACTTTACCAGAGAAGAAGTAAAAACGTAGGCATTTATTTTATTACAAGCTTTAACGAAGTGTGTCTTGTTTGAATTTAGGTGTGAAGCCGGTTTCTTTTTTATTAAAATTCATAAATAAAATAGGCATCATATTAATTATGTCTCGTTCAAATTTTCGCATTAAAGTCGATTTATCGAGATATTATCAAGATATTCGACAAGTTTGTTGGATGTTTATTGATGGAACGAAAATTTTATCAATTTCTGATATGAAGAAACATATAAATAAATTATTTAACATTAGTGAACCTTATCATTTGTGTTTAAATAATACTGAATATTTACCACCTTCTGAAGATGCTAGAATAGTAAAAGAAAATGAAACAATTGTGTAAGTATATATTTGTTTTTATTAATTATCCTACAATGTTATTCAGAGAATAAAATAATAGTTAATATATGTGGTCATAGCGTTGTACCAGGTAGTGGTTTGGACAATGAAGTAGAATCTGTTGCGAATGTTGTATTAGCTTCTGTACAAGATAAAAACATTAGCAGTAAGAAAGAGAATATAACATGCAATCATAAAGAAACGCAATCATTAGAATGTGTTAAGGAAGTAACAACAGTTCCTACGAAAAAAAACGAACTTCTTCGAACTGATGAGGTTTCTGACTTTAAAAATGGTTTGAATTTTTATATATATATTTATTATTTTTAAATTGATTTTGTAATACATAATTAAAATTACAGATTTGTCATCTATGGATGATGCAACATTCCATAGCTTAATAAATGATACAGAGGATAATTATAGTACAGATTCTAAAACAATGAACAGTACTATTAAAGAAGATTATTGTTACGTAGAGAAAGAAGAAACTTCTAACAGTAAACGTAAAAGAGTACGACATAGAAAAGGAAAGAAAAATAAAGACATATCAAGTGTAACAAAAGATACCAATGACGATAACGTTAAAACAAAGAAACCTAAGGTAGTCGATTCTCTTGTTTTGTCATCGGGAAAGCATATAAGATTTGATACGACTGAAATAAATGAAAATCTACAAAATCAACAGTGTGTGATAGAACCTACGTTATCGAAACTCTTTGACTTGAGGAACAGTTCTACTCCTCTTACGTTTCATAATCAAAAAATTAAAGAAGAAATTAATACGCAGAAAAATATATCTAATATTGAAAAAGATGATACTAATATTTCTAATGAAAAAGAAAACGAATCGTTGAATAATAATCTTGAAAAAAATACATCCAACAAAGAAAGTAATGTCTATATTAAAAATCAAACGTTTTCTGATGTTGAACCTGAACAATGTGTTCCTGTAAAAATGCACGAATTAGAAACTTTTGATATTATTGGATTCAAAGTAAATATTAGGTGTTAACGTTATTGCGTTAATTTATTAAATACTTTTATTCTATATATGTTAAATTATGTTTTACAGATGTTAACAATTGGACCAGATTACACTCCAGAAGTATCTCAAATGATTGTAGCGCAGGTGATTTCGTGTGATCAAATATCTAGTTCATTAACTCTGAAAATAATCAGTAAGTATCGATAATTTTAGTTACTTATTTCAGGAATTTTCAAGTCGTTTTAAAATTAATCACGAGTTAATCCTTTATCAATTGCAATTTTCAGAAGGATTAGATCAAATTTATGATGATAATGTCCCTGTGGGAAAGTTTAATATTTCCGAAGAAGAAACTAATAAAAAAACACCGATTATTTTAAATCTAAGCTATTCTAAAATGATTGATCTGTGTATTATAAAAAAACTATCTTATTAACACAACGTAGCTTGTTAAGAAATTTATATTAATTATATTTTATATTTTAACGTTCCTGATTTTAAAAAATAAGTAATATCTTTTTTATATTAGTTTTTCGTAAAGTTTACTGTTCTTTTTATTATATTTAGTCTAGCAGTTCATGCAGCTTCATGTGATAAGAATTATTTTATTAGTGATTATCGAGCAATAATGTTTCAAATCGTTATATCTATTTCCAATTTTAATTTTCTTTTAATGGTTTGAAAAATAAATTGTTATAATATTAATTAAGATTCACCAAACTGCTTTTAATAATACAGCTTTTGTTGCACTAAAAATTATTAAATTGAAATACAATGACTGATTTTTACATATTTTTTTAAATTAAAATTGTATCCAGTCAGAGACAAAAGTAAGAGAACAGTAACTAGAGATAGTTAAATAAAAAAGGAAAGCGCGTTTATAAATTCTCTACAGAGCGGATAAGTAACTAGAATAGAGAGTTCGATTGCAACAGTTTTTTCACCTGTTTCTAGTGACAAATTCCGTGATGGTGCTACAAGTATTATTTGGAATTGTCCAATAAATGGCACCACAGCAGATAACTCAGAACATTTCTAATAATCATATATTCCGTGGGTCAATAGAAGGGTATATACGGTATCATACATGCATACATACGGAAATAAGCAAGGAAAGGGAAAAGTTAGTTGGTAGATAGTGAAAAACCATAAAATAAATTAACATACACGAGGAGGATATTCGCACTTTTAGATTCGTGCATTTAAACAATGGGAATTATAAACTATGACAATGAGTCATACGACAATTAATGATTTCTCACGAAAATTAAATTCGTGTTGTTATTTAAACCTCAAGAAAAAGTCGACCGGCACGAGGAAAACTTCAAGGCGTTGGCATTGCTGCGTTCCCTGACAAATTGTAAAACCAATTCTAGTTTATACGAATTAGAAATATATATACATATATATATGTATATCTATACATATATATATATATAAATATATAAAAAGAAAAAGAAAAAAGAAAGAGAGAAAGAGAGAGAAAAAGAGAAAGAAAGAGATAGAGAGACAGACATAGAGATATTGACAACGATTACGTTATTTTTAAGTATTATTATAACAGTGTATTTATCTGTCGCGAAAAATAAATGAAAATAGAAAGAAAGAGAGAGAAAAAGATTTATAGTTTGACAAGGATACGTTTTTGGTAGTGTATGGGGTGCACGTTAGCATCGAAATGAATCAATGGGATAGAACAATGTGTATTATGCATTTGATACGTTTTGTCAGCTGATCAGAGTGTTTTTAACGAGATGTGAACAACTAGGAAATATTAGATTCAGTTTTGCTCTGCATTCTGTTATTATCATCACACATATTCGCCTGAACATTTTTTCTAAGCTAAGGAACAGGAAGAAGACAACACTAAACTGTAGAGGATCTTTTGTAGAAAATAAAGAAAGGAACAAAAAAAAATAATAAGGAAGGAAAGAAGGAAAGAAGGGAGGAATAATTAAAGACTAAAAGAAAGACTTAAAAGAAAGATAAAAAGAAATGGGGAACAAAAACAGTTGCTGTGTTTATTCCAGTCCTCAAGTTGGACGTAAGGAATTAACAGTCGAAGGTGTCACAAGAGGCCTTGAAGAACATCTTCCAGAAGGTGGTATCAGTGTTAATAATTTACAGCACATTAGCGAACGAGAACCTGAAGACTGGGACTCTGATCCGTCGCTGCATCCCTGTGCTGGAACTATTTTCATGGAACGCTCTAAACAAGCTATCGAAAGTAAGTTAATCTGTTTATATTGTTTTTGTTGAAATTATCTGATAACCGAGTTATGATTTATAAAGAAATTTTATTCTATTGAATGATATTAATAATAATTATTATTTTATTTCTTTCTTATAGATGGTATGGTAAGGAAAAAAAGTCAACATCAAATAGCAGACACAAGGCCTCTCAAAAAAAGTAGCAGTTGTAGTACCATATACTTGGACGATAGCACCGTTTCTCAACCTAATCTAAAAAATACAGTGAAATGTGTTGCCTTAGCTGTTTATTATCATATTAAAAATAGAACTTCACACAGACAAATTGATATATTCGATGAAAAATTACATCCTTTAACGGTGAGTTCTTAAAAATCATTTTTTCTTCTTTATTATCGGTCGTATAATAAAAATTTTTTACAATGATTCTATTTATTATTTATAGAGGGACGGTGTTGCGGATGATTATGATAAGCATAATCCAGAGCACAAACAGATTTATAAATTTGTAAGGACTCTATTTAATGCTGCTCAATTGACAGCTGAATGTGCCATCATAACGTTAGTCTACCTTGAACGACTACTTACTTATGCAGAAATAGATATAACACCAGCTAACTGGAAACGTATTGTACTTGGAGCTATTTTATTAGCCTCTAAAGTATGGGATGATCAGGCTGTGTGGAATGTAGATTATTGTCAAATTTTAAAAGATATTACCGTTGAAGATATGTAAGTATTTTTTAACTATATTTTGTATATTTCAATAGTATTTTTTTTAATTTTTCTTTCAGCAATACTGAAGGTATTTCAAAAAGTACTGCATGTTTTATTTTTATTTATTATTTAAAATATTTATTTAATAGTTACTACAGAATATTGAGAATACAATATTTATATATTTTTTTTAAATTAGATACGTCTATGTTAAAATATTTATAAAAATTTGATCATTTCTTTTTTTATAGGAACGAATTAGAGAGGCAATTTTTGGAAATGTTACAGTTTAACATAAACGTTCCTTCAAGTGTGTATGCTAAGTACTATTTTGATTTACGCACACTTGCAGAAGCAAATGAATTAACATTCCCTAGTGAGCCACTTAGTAAGGAAAAAGCGCAGAAATTAGAAGCTATGTCCAGAGTCTACGAAGATAAGGTAACAGCTGAAGTCCTACGTACTGGTATTAAAAAGTGGTATAGTTTAGATAATGTATGCATAGGAGGACCTAGACGTAGTATTGCTATTTTATCCTAAATAAAATATTTCAATATACAAGAACATGCAAATACATTGACATTCTAAATTTAGAGAATTCAGGAAGATTTTGTGTAAGTTTTTATAGCAATTAGTCTTTATAAAGTTCGTAGATATAAAAGTAACAAAAACTTTGTAACAAATTTATTATCCTGTAATTTGCATACAGGACTCCTTTTAATATTATCAGGAATAAAAAAAAAAGGAGATTCCATTGATATCGGATAGCTTTTTTATTGAAATATTTTATCTGTCTTCAATTCTCGCTGTTAAATAACTTTAATATATTATTATCTTTGATCGGTAATTAATTTTATTTATTATAACATTTCAAATCACAAGATGATAATGTATATATATTATTTTGATTTATTATTTAACGCAAGCGAATATAAATATTGCCTAAAATGAAAAATTGACAAACTTTGGCTATCAATGACACGCTTAAAATCCATTTTAATAAAACAGATTTTAACGAATAGAATGCTGTTATAATTTACTTTTTTTAAATATATACAAATGTTAACATTTTTCACATTCTTTTAATTGCGTCATTTGATAAGTTTATTTTTCTGTGAAAGTTGAATGATCAATGTGTTCATGGGCATAGTTAAAATACATAGAAATATTTGCTGAACTATTTTGCTTTTCTATCAACATTGAAGCAAAAATGAGACAACATTTACATAATTTATTAACGTGAAAAGTAAAAATAGTAATCCCATTTATTGATTATTGTTTCAAAACTATTATTATTATATTTTACACAAAAAGTTAGATCATCGACCTGGGACTGTAATAAGAGTGAGCAATATAAAATAATATAATATAATATAAGATACACTAATGTAAAAGGGTGCCCATCAAAAGCGACAAGCAGTGAGGGGAAAAAAGAAAAAAAAAGGAGTATTAACTTAATTAGTAATCTTCTTATTAAAGGAAATAACATGTGATATATATTAGTCAACTGTTATTCATCATCCAAAGCAGTTAATATATTGACTGAATTACATAAGGGCTAAACATTTCTGGCTGATATATATTAAAAAAACAAAAACAAAAACAAAAAAAGTAATGTAAAATGGAAAGATAGAGTGCAATTGGGATTTTAATACGAGTCATTATATTTCATTTAAGATAGAAAATTAAATATTTCACATATTGTAATAAGGTCACACCGTTAAGGGGAAAAGAAAAAAAAATCATGAAAAAGCCAAAGCCATGTCACATCTAACTATCTTAAATATACTGTAGAGTATCTTGTGCATATCTAGACGTATTGGAAATCTATATCTATACATCTACGTTAATGTAGAAGAAGGTATATATGAATCATGTATATGTATAAATACATACGCGCGTGCATTTTCTTATAAAATTATTATTATACAATTGCCATTTATGCTTTGTGATTTTTCGTATAAGAAAATGTTCATAAGGGCCAATCAAATTGTTTTTTTTTTTTATATATTGGCTTTAATCGACGGGGGATAGATAATCAAATTACAATGTTAACGAATATTAATAACTAATTTCACAATTGACTTTTGTTATCATTTTGTATTACTGCGATACAAAAAGTTATCGTTTGCACACTGTATTTTATAGGGACAAGTATTATTATTATTATCATCTAAATATTTTTATCTTCCAAGAGAAATAATTTTTCCAAGCGATTTCATTTGTTCGTTAAAAATATATAGTTGTTCATAAAGTGAGTCGTGCTTATATATATTTTGCATGACTAAAAATTCTGTCTTTTTTTTTTTTTTAATTATTATAACTTATATATTTAATTGTATAAAATATCCTAGCTCATTTATGAATGCGCAACATTAAAAACCTTTTTTATTTCTTTATTTACAAAAGACTATTTATAATCATTTATCATCTTAAATGCATATTCACGATTCACAAAATACAGGACGTATCTTCCAGAATATTTCAGTTCGTTTGTTTATTGCTTGGTTTATACATGAGACACCACCTCTAATCAATAAACTATCAGATACATTTTTACAGATGCTCGCTCTTTCTTCTTCGTATTTTCACATTATTTAATTTTACTTATTTATTTTTAATTAAAAACAAATATAAAAAACTAAAACTATATATAGATGTAATGATTTTAACTTATGATACAGTTCCAAACATGAATGTAATTGAACGATATTATTGTGCGTATCATATTTATTATTATGTAACATATTGCACATACAGATCTCATTAAATGAAAATCATTCCATTGCGATATATAAAATAAAATAATTTCTTTTTCAAGTTGTATAGCTAACGAAAATACAGATGCAATAAGAAATCTTTTGTGCATAAAATAGATACGTTAAAAAAAAACTTCAAACTTGCAAATCCTAGTAGTAAGTTCTCTATTCAAATTTCTGTGATTATATTTTTCTTACACAGAAGATGATCTAGATATTAGATAATAATTATATTATAAATATATACGATTCAAGAGAGAAATAGGGAGAAAGTAAATATTTAATCAACAGTTATTAAAAACACATTCGTTCATGGCAAAAAATATCATTGAAAAGAATTTTGTAAAAGAATATTTAATATGTTAGTGCATTTAGTTGTTATCAACACACAATGATAAATTTTGTTAAGAAATATTGAAATTGCGATGCATTTTCAAATAATAATACCGAGCTACGTGTCTTGTCTTTCAAAGTGTAGATAAAGAAAAAATGTCCATCGTTTGAAAGTAAAATAATTTCTATGTATGAAAGAAAGAAAGAAAGAAACAGAAAAAATGTAATTAATATTTAAGATATGATGACGGAGACGTGGATATGTTATTTTCTTAGATGACTTTGTTTATTTCGCTGTACAATTAAAACATTATTATAACAAAATAGTATAATGTAAATACTCATACATATGTATAATATTACTCTTCATTCTTTATTTCTTTTTGATGTAAGATGTTGCAGTTTGTATTAAAAATTTAAAAATATTTTTATTTAAATTGTAACACCAAATTTTTATTATGCTGATATGAGAGAACAATTTTTCAATATTTATCGACTGCACCTATCGAACAAAAATTTTTCACTTATGTACTGGTGAATTTATGTAGTATATATATCATTACTATATTGTATAATTATCCTACAATTTTATAATAACAGCTTGTATAAGTGCATATAATGTTATTTATATTTAAATATTGTGTTGGCAACTAAGTGATTGCGAAAAAAATTCGCAGTCACTTAGTTGCCAACACAATAGTTTAAACACTATATTAATGATAGCATACAAGTAAGCTCCATAGTAAATCCATTTGTATAAAATTGTCCACAATATAATAAGCCCATTAATGATTAATAATAAAATAACTGTATATAAATGTGCAGAATATTCCCAAAGTTGAAGAACTGAATAATTACGAAATAAAATTTTTATTCGTTTGTACTATTATTATTATTATATATAAATAGATTTTTCATTATAGATTGCATAGTTTTAGTGTAATTATTTAGATACATAAATTAACGATTAAATTTATATTAAATTAAAATTTTAAGATAAATTTGGGAACAAAAATTAGCTAACACATTTGTTCTATTTCATTTAACATATTTTTTTTGTTTTTAAATTCATCAGATTAGAATAATTATACCATAATGATTTTCATCATATAAATATTACAGAAAGGAGTAGGCAATATTTTCATAATATTCCTTAGAAAAAAACAGTAAAGAAAATTTTGAAAAAGACTTGTAAACTTAATTAATTAAAATTTAATACGACGATAAATTTCACATATGACCAATAACAACTTAACTCTACCGTTTGTTATTGCTTTACTTATGTAATAAAATCATTTGAAATTTTATACTTATGAAATAGACTCATAAATATAAGGATAGTCTTATTGTATGATTGGATAATATATATGTGTGTGCGTGTATATAAAAATGGATACTCTTTAATCCGAAGTTCCATTAGACTTATGGAGTACCGTTACAGAGTATATAATTACAGCTTATTATTATTTTTATATTTTATTAAAAGAAACAAAATCATAATATTATAATAGAAATATAGTGCAATGAGACTGTCGAATTTAATACGTAAAGTTTGAAAACATTTACAGCGTACTTTCTTTCTCTCTCTCTCCGCATTATATAATAATGTGTAACATGGAGCTAAAGAATCTTAATATAAGCATATATAGGTGTAACATATCTCAAATTTTTGGTCCAGATATATAAACTCTTTAGTTCCTCGATACAATTAAACAAGGATAATATTTTTATTATAACAAAGAGAAGAATTGGTTATCGTTTGCATGGACTCATACGACTTAATGATGATAATAGAATTGTAATTGAAATATTAACCAGGCCAAAATAATATCTATGACACCACAATGTATAACAAAGGAGATCGGGTCATATTACCTGATCTACATCTTCATTTTCTGAAGACATAGAACTTATAAAATTTCTAGTACAACTATTTTTATAAATAGAAAAAGGGGTTCAGTATAAAGACAATCTCGAATGAAGTCTTGTTGCGTCCTGTAAATAAATTGCTATGCTAAATTTATATATATCTATGATTCGTAAGATATTAATTATATAAACCGGAATCGCTTTACTAGAATTAGTTGCACAGTGTTTATACTTGAGTTAAAAGATACTATTAAAGTATCCGCTTTCTCAAGTCTTCCATCCTAAATAACTACAGTCCTATATTTTATTTAGTACTTTATTCGACACAGAGAAAAAGATAATTAAAAAAAGAAAACAAAAACATTTTGCTAACGTATTATGGCCAATACTCTGAAAATGTGAAGTTGTGATATATAGACATATTAATTAATGAAACTTGTATATTCTTACTTTAATGAGACTTGTAATGAATATAATCATGTATAAGTATATCGTAAATCATTTTACTGTCTAAAATTATCTATTGGGTTGGTAACTAAGTGAGTGCGGTAATTTTAATAATAATCTATCGACAAAATCCGCAATCACTTAGTTGCAAATTCAATAACTATCCAAGAATGTACATTTTTCATTGGATTTTCATTTTAACATAAAAAAGAAAGAAACAAACATGCATTGTTCTCTAAAAATGTTTTACATTATATCTATTTTCTTTCTCTTCCTACACTACCTTTTTCTTCTTTTGTTACAAATATTTAAAAAATTAAAAAATATATATTATTTCTGTAACATATTGCAAAATATTTCATTTTTCTTAACAAAGCGTTTTTTTCTTTTTGCCTATTATTTATAATTCAAATTAAATTTGTATTAAAGGTGCGCATCTCTATATTTGAATATTTATATAATTTTTAAATATAATTAAAAGAACATTTATTTTAATTCAAATTTAAAATTTTGCCGCCAAATAAAGTGATCAGTTGCGACTCTTGTGGTGATTCAGACAACAATTGAATATAATTATATTGTAGTTTACCATCTTACAAAAATTATTCATACTCATTGAAATGTTAAAAATTGACAGTTCTGAAAAGTGACAATATAGCATACTGTGTCTTTGTTTCGTGTGAAATGAAATAATATTAAATTAATAATAATTTAAATCAATAACAAATTAAATAATTATTTTGGATAACGTTACTAATTAAATTCTTAATAATGATGCTTCATAAAATTAGTTCAAAATTGTGTCGTTTATGCGGTAAAGAAAAACAACAAGGTACAGATGTATTTAAAGATAAAGTTAAAGGTGCTGTACTAATTTCTATTATTAATAAATATTTCTCAAAAGAGGTAATTATTAACTATAGATATATTGATTAATTATCTATTTCATTAATTACTTGACAATTGTTAAGTAATTAATAAGTAATCTAGGTTATATCAGTTTAGATTATATTTATATATTTTATTTGTTTAGGTTATAAATATATCAACGTCAGATGTATTCTCAAAGTTTGTTTGTATGGATTGCGAACAGAAGATTTGTATATTCGATGAATTTTGTTTAATGGTTGCTAATGTACAAAAGCAATTAGCTGCCCCTTCTTTAGAAATTGACTTCGCTGAGGTATATATGTATAAATCACTTTTATATTTACTGTTATATATTTGTTATAAATGAATAATGTTTACACAGGATATGTTATGTCATTTGAAAGAAAATGATAGTGTTGAGAAATCTTCGATGAACAAACAGGATGCCAGGAAATCTATATGTCCTATATGTACAAAAAGTTTTAGATGTCAAGCGCATTTAGAAAGGCATAAACGCATACACACAGGACAGAGGCCTTTTATATGTACAGTATGTATATAATTATTATATATTACTTGCTATTATAAAATATACTTCATTTATTACAATGAACATTAATAAACATTTAATTAAAGATTTGTAGAATGTCTTTCAATCAGCAAGAAATACTCGTGAAACATATGGAAAGACACGAAGGAAAGAAACAATTTCAATGCGCTAATTGTCATCAATCGTTTCGCTATAAAGTATCTTTAAATTCACATATGATTAATTTTCATATGGATATGGATCAGTCACTTATACATGGTCATGTAATGGCTATCGATAGTAATTCTTTTACATGTTCAGAGTGTGGCAAACAATTTGTAACTAAGTACAAATTACAAAGACATTCGAGGTGTCATACCGGGGAAAGACCGTATCATTGTACATTTTGTACTAAGACATTTTCGCAAACAGGAAATTTGAAAGTACATCAAGTTAAATGTCATCAAATACCTGAATCGTTAACAGAGATAAGAGGGCAACCTCAGAATAATACTCAAGTTATAAATCGTGATATGTCAGCGCCTTTAAATAATTTTCACGCAGTATATATATCGGAAAGCGAAATACAAAAGACTATTAACGAGACTATAAATTCAACGAATCCTAGTACATCTTATCTTAATAAAATGTATGAAAATCCTCTTTATATAGACGACGAGATAGAGACAATGCTGGATCACGATCTCGGTCAATTGGAACAGAATAAATATACTAATAGTTCGCAAGATAAAGTATCTCTTTGTTTAAAACAACCAGAGACTCCTGAATTGTTGCATAGTTTATTATACGACGATTAATGTGTAATGATATTTAATATTATCTTTATAAAACTTTCTCTATACATTTTTTAATGTAATGCAATAATATACATTTTATTAGATATTTAAGTACGTGCTTATGCAATAATTTAGGACGCTACAAATACATCTAACGATGTATAATTATTAGAAAAAGAGAATGTATACATATAATGTGTAAGTATTTGTCTAATAAGTTTAATATCTAAACAATAGATTATAAAAGAGTTAGTAATTTAGTTTCAAAGGGAAATGTATGAGATAAGTATGGTATAGGAAGATCAAATCATAAATCAAGTCAAATTAAGGTAAATTTAGGCTGTAGTAGTTGTGTAGAAATAAAAAGATTAGTAGGATAGGTTGACACGAATAATTTAATTGAAACGATTGGATAATATAAAGAGAAATTTTTATTTTGTTATTTCTATTTTATATATATATATATATATTTTATTTTATTTACACTTGTTACACGCGCGCGCGCGTGTTCTTGAATATTTATTTATTATTTTGGAATCTTGGAAAATATTATTGATATTGAGAAGCGATTGACTGAACTAATAATTTTCTATGCTTCATAAAAATTGTGTCTTTAATAATAATAATAATAATATAATAATAATAATACAATTGAATGTGTTAATAATAGTAAAAAAATATATATAAACGCGCAAGACAACAAAAGAACAGAAACAAAAAGAAAAGAAAAAATACCTTATTCGTATAATAAAATTTTAACTTTACATAAAAGAATAATTTAAAGAAGATTGGCATTACGAAAGCATGAAAACAGTGTTCGTTCATGCACAATTTATTAATTAGTTGCATCACAATTATATTAACAAATACATATTGATATCGTGTGTGATGATTTTCTTATAATTAAAGAGGATTTTATTCCTACAAGTTATCACAATTAAAATGATGTTCAGATCATAATTAAAAGTCAGTCAGGCAATATAAATTGGATATACTATTAAATTATTCAAATGTAGTGAACTTACAAACTATATATTAACATATTAATCAAATGCATATATATCGATACATTTATCCGTCATATTCTATGTTTTTACAATCTCTCTTTCTCCCCATAGAACATAAAAATTTAATAACAATGCTTTTTAAAAATTAAAATTTAAGGCACAGCCCCTCGCGGAATTTTGCGCCATTTTTCTGTTTTTTTTTTCTTTTCTTTAAACTACGAGTACGGAGCTGAAATTCATTATGATAAGAACACTGATATCATATACGCGGCACGGTACTTTTTTTTAATCTTTTACAATCTACAAGAAAAAAGATATTACAATCGTAAATGACATATTATATACTTGACTAATTCACATCATATCGTGAATACGTTTCAGGAAATTTTTTTCCTTTTTTGAATTTTTTCCTTTTCACAAATCTACAATTTCACTTTATTATTTCCAACGTAATTTAATTAATATATTAACTTAACTTAAATTTATTAACATATATAGAATAAAATATCGGATCACATTCTCACAGATACATCAATGGAGAATATTTAATTGGCCTGTATTTGTAGCATAAACCATTCCTTGGCCAGGTTGTGGTGCCCATCTTATACAATTTAAACTAACATATCCAGTACTTCCTGGAATATATAGCAACAGTTTTCTAATAAGCACCATATTTCTTTTATTATCTTTAATATCCAAATCAGTTCTTATGCTACGATGGCGCCAATCTTGATCCTGTCTATTGATGTCGTCATTGTTTGGTCTTGGATTACCAACATTATCAGTACCATGTACAAACTCATCCGTTCTATATGAATCACTGTGTTCGTTATAATATTCTGGGTCTATTTGTTCTACTATACATTGTTTTTCTTTAGTAGATTCTTTATCAGTGAGTTTGTAAATTAATGCCATTAGAAATCCTCTTGGACGAATTCTTTGCGATGCTAAACCAACTAAAAGATGTTGCTTTGTTGGTGACATTGATACAGATACAACTGTTTGATCTATTTTTGTCGAATAAATTTTTTCTCCTAAAGTTTCCCATTGCAAACTGTATATACCTGAAGTGTAACATTCACAGATTATGTAAAAGAAAAGAAGAAGAAAAAGAAACAAAAAAGCAATTGAAAGATAATGATTGATATGTTAATTACCTAAATTTGTCCCGATATTATGTGCTCCTGGCGATGACAGTAACGTTGTTATCATTTTTCCATCGGATGAAATATCAATACTTGCATCGTTATGAATCTTACATTCGTGGACAACAATATTTTTCTTTGCTAAAAATTCAGATTTTATTTATTTATATATCAAATATAAAAAGAGAAAATAATATTTAATATTTAAAAAAGATTATCTGCCTCACTTACGATCAGTTAGGTCTGGAATTTCACCGTTAGAAAAATCCCATGCTTGAACCCGATAAGTTTGAGTTTCAATGCTATTAACTGTCATAGTTACTGGTATGTGATGATCTGAAAAAATAAATAATATAAATATGCAGAATATCTACGCACACATAGACACACAATGAAACGTCCTAATCTATTTTTAAATATTTAACAACGATTATTATTATATATAATAGAATTAATATACCTCCAAGATCGATATCATCACTATCATCATTTCCAGTATCTTGTCCTCCACCACTTATTCCTCCTCCATCACCATCTCCGTCCCCGCCTCCACCACCTCCACCTCCGCCACTACCTCCTCTTCCAGTCATATTACTACTAGCATTTCTAGATGGTGGATAGTTAATACCAAATTCAGAATAACGCCCGAATGTACGATTACGCCACATAGCTTGTGCCAAAACTATTGGACTTAATATTTGATGCAGATTCTGCTAGAAATGCACAAAATTATAACATTATTTATTTATTATCGATTAATATTTTATTGGAATAATATTTTGTTGAAAAATGATCATTAACGTACCCTGGTTCTATTATGATATGGATATATCGAGCTTGGTCCAGGTTGATGATAATAATTATTATTATTACTATTATTATATTATTATTATTATTATTATTATTATTATTATTATTATTATTATTATTATTATTATTATTATTATTATTATTATTATTATTATTATTATTATTATTATTATTATTACTATTATTAATATTATTGTTATTGTTATTACCATTTCTTTCAACATCATTAGGAAAACTATCAATTAAGTATGGTGGAAGAATATGAGACGGAGTAATGTGTCTCCTTCTTTGACTTCCTGGCAAATTACGTAATTCATTCAATGGTATTCCATTTACTCGTATAACTGGAACATTTAATTCTTGTCTGCGAGATACTCCATTTCTATAAGATATTCTACGTCTAATACGATCCCTTTGAAGGTATCTATTAACATAGCCACGAAAAGGTGCTGAGACTCTCCTTATTATTGGTGGTGGCAAACCAGGTCCCTGATAACTCAACGGTCTTCTAGCATTTTGTTCGTTTTGAATAAGATTACTCCAATTTAATCTTTGATTTCTTTGTTCGTTTTCGTTTAAATACTGATTAAGTCCAATTGACGTATATTGCCAATAATTTCTAAGTCCTCTTCTATTAACAGTTGTATTACTAGCCTCGTGAGAACCACGTAACTCACGAGAACCATTATTTCTGTAGGTAATGCTATTACTTAAGGGATATAAATTACTTCGCCTTCTACTATTTTCTGTCGAGCTATCGGTACTAGTAGAACTATTGTTTTGAATCCTTTCAATAATATTCTGTATCTCAACAGACAATGCATGTTCCGATAAATTATTAGCAGTGCTTGTACCTGCTTGCTGAAACTCATGATTTTGAGTGGTAAAAGTAGCAGTGTTATCAGTATTTATAGAATTGTTAACATGTGAAGTTAGATGATTCAAATTTTGACGTTCTTCGTTAGTATTACTTTGCGATTCCGTATCAAGTTGTTGCGGATGAAAGAACAATCTTTTCAATCGTTCTGCCATGTTCTGACGATTTCTATTAGTTTGTAATGAAAAAAGATCTTCTGTGTTTGCTTGATTTATCTCAAGCGACGTTCTAGGATTTTCTGCATCGATATTTCTTTCAAAAATTTCTGTTTCGTCATTATTTTCCGATACTACTTGTACGTTGTTCCTCGAATTATATTCTTCCGTTTGTAAACGATTATCTAGATTATTACTTCGAGGTATTTCTGTCCTATTATTACTCTGAGACGAGAGATCAGAACCATACGGTCCATATTGACTAGACTCTAATTCTTGTCTCGTAGATACCAATTGAGCTAATAACAAATCCGTTAATTCTAATGCTAAGTGTAGTAAAAAATACATCTCTGTAAAAGGAAAAAAAAGAAAAAAGATTATAATTAAAATTGCATCATTATAAATTTATAAATTAATAAATTTTTCAAACTTACTATAGATTTGTTCGTAAAGCATATTACTTTGCGATCCATTTTCAGGTCTGTTCATTTGAATAAACTGCGTTAAACCTCCTACCATCAAACTAAGAACTTGTCTAAAATTAGACGAAAACTTATATCAAGATAATATACATATTTTAATAAAAAATCTCATGCAAATGATATTTTATATAATTATATAAATCTTACCTAGCTTGAAGACGAGTTGCCTCACGAATTTGTTCAATTTCTTCGTTTTCACTATTAAAAATATTGTCCATTTGATTGTTACTATCAAAACTCCTACTGATATTATTATTTTGAGCAAGAAATCTTTGTTGACGTACTAAAAATTCCAATCGAAGTATCATTACTTGTAAAAATTCTGAAGTACTTTGCACTTGGTTTCTTTCACTACTATTTTCATTGGATGTACTGTCGCATATGTTGGGAGGATTTCTACGCGAATGCCATGGCCTTCTTACATTTTCACGAGAACTACTTTCATTGCTTGAATGTGATCTGGAACCTCTTTTAGTTGCCAGTGGCGATAATCTTGAATTTCTATATATATATATATATATATATATANATTTATATTTATTATTTATATAAATGATTAAAATATTCTATAACAGATTAAATATTTACCTTAAGTACGTTCGTTGTCCATATTTAAGAATTCTTTGGAATATATGTGGTCTGTTTTGTGAATTGATATTATTTGACGACGATGACTCGGATTGTATTCTTTGATTTAAATTTTCCGAAATATTAGATGAATCTTCTATATTAGTATTAACGTATTCATTATTATTAGTGTTATTATTATTAAGTTGCGTATTTACATCTTCAGAAGAATACTCTACGTTATCACTTGTCTGCGCTGTTTCATTTGTAACAGAACTTGGATTATTTACTTGGTTATTAACTAAATGCGAAACGTTAGGTGTTTGAGAAGTTGCAGTAGTAATTGAAGAAATAGTTTGTAAATTAGATGCAATTCCAATATTAGAAACAAGACTTGAAATACTTGGTAACTGTACATTTCCATCGTTATTTGTTAAATTAGAATAAGTATGATCATTTATCGCATTATTTGTGTACTGTGAATTATCAGGAAGATTACAATTCTGACATTGCGAGAACAGATTGTCCAATATATTAGATAAATTATGCGTCTCCATATCACGTAATTCAGATTCGCTTGGTAATAAATTTGATAACCGTATGTTAGTAGAATTTTCTGTCTCATCGTTACTGTTACTATGATTTTGTGAATCACTATTGACAAATTTTGATGAACTTGTTATTCCTGTAGATGTTGAAGGTTGATTTTGATCACATACTTTAGTATTACCAGTCTCACTATTCTCTCTCTTAAAACTTTCTAAAAGAGTCTTGTTAAATTTTTTAGTAGATTCGCCTTGGGAATCTGTTGACATTGAAGAAGAATTCTGTCCAGAAGTCGAAGGCCTAGCGTTTGTACTTATATTAGATTGTCCTGCTGATGTTTCACGATTATTATTTTGTCCTTCAACTCGTACAGTTACGTGGAGCGAACGTATTTGATCTTGCAAGTCTTCCCACATTCTACGCACTTGCTGTAATTGGGCAATTTCTATTCTAGCTCTGTAAAAAATAGGTATAGACACAAAACATTATTTATTAATTTATTACTTTTTTATCTGACATGTTCATATGTATATGAATTAAACAAACATTTCATATCAAAGAAAGAATAGGAAATATTTCTGCATAGAGAACTTTGACATACCTACATAAACGTTGCATAGTATCTATCCGCCGTCCAAGAAGACGTATTCTAAGTCTAATTTCCAAAGGATGAAGACCGACATCTCGATTAAGGGATAATCTCCATCTTCTAAATCCTTCCCCGCCTATATCTCTAATATTAGCATTAGATTCATTCGTATTACGACTTAATCGTTCAGAACGAACATTATTACCTCTTAATTGATTTTCAGCTTGATTATTTTCTCTTTGTTGTTGATTTTCCGTTGAACTTTCACCTTCTGTTCTTTCTTTTTTTCGAGGTATATTTGTTTCTTGTGTATTAGTATCGTTGTTTGTGCTTGAATATTCTCTTTTCATTGATACGTTATTCGTATTCGCAGGAGGATTTACAGGTTGTTGTTGATGATGATTAATCGAACTACTGGAAGGATTAGCATCTGATACTGTACGTTGTACTAATCTTCTAAATTGACTTTCTTGTAAACTTCTGAATGGATATAATGGTGGTTGTTCGTAGCTTAAAGAATTAGCAGATGTCAGAGTTATTTGATTTCTATTAGAAAGCCTATTCTGAGCCCTTTGAATTATTTCATCGGATGTAAATCTTGTATGCGTTGGTTCAACGAGCGAAGATGTACGATTATTATTATTATAATTTCTATTGGACGAGTCTAATTGAATCCAACGACTAGTCCATCTTCTTGAATTAGAAGCATTACTCGTACTTGCTTCGTCAAGATTCGAATCTGAATTACTATTTTCTTCAAGAAGCCAATATCCATTCTCAGATTGTTCTCCACTATTTTCATCGTCCAAAGTTTCATCGTGCACATTTTCTGTATTATATACATGCTCGGAGCATAAATTTCGTACAATTTCATCGAATACTCTTCTTAATGAAGCGGAATTTCTATACAATGGAATAATTTCATTGAAACAAGTAAACACAAGAAAAACACAAATACATTAATTAAACATTATAATAAAATGAAATGAACTAATTACCTTTGTCTGTCTCTTGAGTCAGGTAATACCTCTGATGTATTAGGAGGATTTCTTGGCATTCTAACAGCTCTGAGATCAGATGCATTATTAAAGTTTTGTGTTCTTCTCGTATAACTATTCATCATTCTAAATTGACGAAGTGTTGTATCCCATAAATGATATCGTGGTATTGCTTCAGGATCTTGAATGCCTTCCAGTTGATTTCTATATTGTCATATAAAAATATTATATTTCATATGTTACAAATTTACAAGATGGTAATAAAAATGGAAAAATTCGTGGCTTTTATTGTATATATATATATATATTAAATCTACCAAAAAGTTCTGTTCAATGATGCAATCTCAAATTTCAACACGTATGAACGTGTTCGTTTTATCATTGTATTTCTATATATGTGTTCTTCTAAATTTATTGAAATCATTGTTTCAGTAAATATTAATATATAAATGTATTGTGTGTGTGTGTGAAAATGTATTATTTTATTTTAATTGAAAAACGGATAGAACTTTGCAGTAGACTAAATATATATATATTTATAAATTTTATAATTATAAAATAAAACAGATATTAAATTGAAGAAAGCCAAGAATTTATAAAATAATCTTAATATAATAGAATATACCTTATGATATACCTTAAAAGGGTTCTGTACGGTTGTTCTAAAGGAGGACGGTCTTTCTTTGGTCGATATGGTAAAATATTAGCGATACCTGTGATTAATTTTCTTCCAAGATTATCAAATGCTACATACCTATAAAATACATATTTTTTTATAGTATAATAAATTCGTTTAGATTCATTAAAAATATAAAAAATATAAAAGATATTTAAAATATTAATTAATAATTGCAGTTACCTCACTTTTTCTTGATCCGATCCTGTTGAAGCTACTGCAAAAGGTTCGGATTTGCTCCAGTCCCAAAAATGAATTTCATTGAAAGTTGCTATTGCGAGCAACTGTTCGGATGGATGGAATGCAAGAGATGCAATAACAGTATGACTTACAGCATTCCATATTTCGCTACCTCCCTAATTAAAATGACTATGTTATTTATTTCTAATTGTGATTTTTATTAATATTATATTATAAAATATTTAAAAAATGCAACTTACACTTAAATCCCATACACGAACTTGACCACCGAGGCAGCCAGAAGCTAATATTTGACTTGAAGATGGATGGAAAGCTATACACCATGGTGTACGTGGATGACCAGAAAGGGTTCTTATATTTTTTCCTGTCTTAACTTCTGTAATATATACATTGTGATTTCCATGTGTAGATGCTAGTTTAGTCCTAAAATATAATAATTCATTTCTAATTATATTAAATATCTTTCGATGAGAGAGAAAACAAAAATGACTTACCCATCAGGACTAAAGACCATTAAAAAAGTAGCTCTAGGAATCCCAGGTAGATCGCATTTCTATAAAAATAGAATTTAATAAGACAGTGTAATTATGATTACCAAAAACATAACTCGTTCTATAAATTTCTTTTGCAATATAAGTATGTTAAAATTATATAAAGTTAAATATAATAGTATACTTATACGTACCAACTCTCTATGACTCTTCAAAACAAGATTTGTTTCCGCTATAGATTCAAGTTCTCGTGCACTAGTTTTGTTTATACTATGAAGACCTAAATCTCTTAACATAAGGTTGCGTATCACATTCTGAGAAGGATTGCTATGCAGCAATATCGACCTTTTTTTGACTTTCCCCATTTATTACTGTTGTTTTGAGGATTCTATTAAAGGTGGTACGACAAAATATATATATATATTTTAATTAAGAACAAAAGAAGAATTTTAAAAATACAATTTGAATATAAATCAATCAATTTGAACTAAAACAATTAACACGTTCACTACAAATGTCACATATCTGTGACATACTAATTTCCATTGAGAACTTAGCATCATACATTTGTAATAATAGCAATCAAGTTCTGGGCTATGGTTGGAAAATCTTCACAACACAATAGCAAACGTGTTACAATTTTTAATTCGAATTAGATACTTTCAATTGCAATAAATTTTTAAGCAAATAAAGAACACGCGAAAGTAGTGATAATATTGATATTGATATTTTTAATTGTAGCTTTATTTAATAAATACATTCATTAAGCACCAAATTATACACCATTCATCCAAATGAACTATGTATATATATATATATGAACTATATATATATATATGTATACAGTTCGATTCTTCTTCCATTTTC